ATGTGTGTTTTTGTTTTGCAAATTATGATTTTCTTATATAATGAAGTTATGTAATGTTTGCTCTTTCAGTGATCAATTAGGATTGTGATTGCTATTTTAAAAACGTATGGTTATAGCAGATAGTGGGTAGTCACATCTATTTTTGTTTGTATTTATGCAGCGCAACCTGTCTAAACTATGTAATTAATCAGTTTAATCGCTTCTAAGTATTTTACTCAGGATTATATATATATATATATATATATATATATATATATATATATATATATATATATATATATATATATATATATATATATATATATATATATATAAAGTATAGTCAAATTTTATTTTGTATACTGATGCTTGATTTATACAATTATTTTAACTTATTAGCACGCCCTGGTCGTTAATTTATTTTAAAATTTCCATATATCGCTCAGCACATGAAGCATTTTTTTTTCACTCTTGATTAGATATCATTTTACGACTATTTCGGTTATTTACTTATTTTGAAAACAATATTTTTTCGTATGCTCGCCACAGAAACGTCTCCAATACCATTTGTTCTACTAATAAATATTTGCTCAATATTATCTGCAGTAAGAACAACTTTAAGTTTAATTCAATTTAGCTGATTAAACGAAAACTCCAGGACTTTACCATTAGAGAAAGGCTTTGTTTTTAAAATGTACTTTGAAATGCATGTAGTAATTTACTTGTCTTCTTACCTGGCTCTTTTACACATGAGATCCCACTCGCCCCACCTATTTTTATTTCCTGCGGGTAAATTTCATTTCGCCATAGCGTAGATCATTTTTAAAAATTGCAGTAAAAAATTATCAGGTATTCCACGTGCACATCAACTAAATTGTAAACTAAAACATATTGTCTCTATAACGACTGAGAATTCTAGCTGAGTTTGACTATGTTCACTCCCACCCAAAACAAATAAATAAACCAATAAAAGCCAAACATTATTTTGACAGGACTCAAATATAATAATATAAGATGGTACGGGGTATTCAGTTAATGTCCTTAAATCTTGCTGACACAACCGACTTCATGATTTTTTTTTCATACAAAATGGATTAGTGTCATTTTTAATTGATATTGCAACTCGTTATTGTTATATTATTATTGATGTATTTAAAAAGTCTGTTGTTTGAATCCTTCAGTAGTGATACATAACAGACTAATGCAAGCTGTGGTCTTTAATTGTTTTAATTTAGTGGCTATAGCTATTTACGAATTGTTAGTATTTATAAGTTATACATTTTAATAACAAATATTTGGTACGTTTGACTGCCTATCTACATTAATATTGATCCTTTATGTCAGCAATTTAAGACTCAGGAAAATGTTATCAAAAGATATTGTTTTATTGGTTTTAGAAAAATAAAATCAAATTTGTTCAATATTGTTTAATGTGAGTTTCTCTTATCTTTTCTCTCTCTCTATTGCAGCATATATATATATATATATATATATATATATATATATATATATATATATATATATATATATATATATATATATATATTCTCCATCACGAGTTAGACTCAGGGATTGACTCATTAGTGCCCAACAATTGTGGTATCTCACGTACATCTGATTACAGCGTTATGTATTTGGCAATTCCATTTATTGCATGTCTTGAGAATAGTACCTTGAAACATGTCTTGATAATCGTTGCTTGTTTGAGGATTTGCTGCAGAGGAAAGGGGTGTTTGAATTTTTATTAAGACTTCGTTGTTTGGTATCAGGAGAGATTGTTTGCACAGGAGTCAAAATTATGGTTTGGTGACATTTAATCCCACGACAATTAATCCCGCGACAGTTAATGCCTGACACTTAATCCCGCGACAGATAGTCCCGCTGACACATTATATGCTCCCAGATAGGCTAAGATCACAAACAATTAACACCAACAGTAATCCATCAAATAAATAATAAGCTTATACATTATATACTCACAGATAAACCCTCCCGTGGACATGTAAAATAAGAAAAATAAATATATTTAACACAATTTAATAAAAGGTAATCAGAAGTACGAAATTTAAATGTAAAGTGAAATAGAGAACTAAAAGTTAAATGTGTGATAGGTAAACAATGACACGCAGATAGACAAAAACTTCGCTCGAAGAGTAACGTTCGACAGCATTTGTGATACGCGTCTTCTGCGTCTGGTATCACTTGGGGACAGACGGCGGCGAACCAGCGATTCCTTGAACAAAAGACGTTCTTTGCATTTGAATGTCTCTCTCGATTCCCTTAAAAAAAGTCCATAACTATTCCAAGTGCGTTAGCCAAGAAACTCCTCTGACTTATATAGTGGGAGTTATGGTGGTTTTCTTAATTTCTTAATTTCAGCCAATTCAGCCAATCCGGTCCGTGCTAGTTCTCGAAAGACCAAAATTATTCATGCGTTCATACTATTGTATAAGTTTATTATTTATTTGATGGATTACTGTTGGTGTTAATTGTTTGTGATCTTAGCCTATCTGTGAGCATATAATATGTCAGCGAGACTATCTGTCGCGGGATTAAGTGTCAGGCATTAACTGTCGCGAGATTAATTGTCCGTACACCAAAATTATTATAAATAAGATCATCTGATTAATCATTAGTAAAATGTCTAACTATGCTTCATGACTTATAGAGATACGTGTTAATCCACCATTATTATTCCTATTGGGGGTGTCGTCATTTAGCTAATGCACATAAGAAAGAACAATCCTCGACACCTAAAAGTCTTGTGCATGCAAAGCGTTTGGACTTTAAATTAAAAAGGAGCAGGACTAAATACATCCCCAGACCCATAAATCAATACACGGATTGAAAATTAGACACTATGCGATTCATCGTTTATTTACATATCTATTATTTAAATAGTTGTGCATATTTTTATTATTTCACTATTACTATTCATTTGCAGGATAATCTCAAAAATGTGTCAATTTGACGACAGTAAATAAAACGTTGTGGTGGCAAGCCATATATGAACTAAACGTTTGTGGAGAGAGAGAGAGACAGAGAGAGAGAGACAGAGAGACAGAGAGACAGAGAGATCGAGACTGACGGTCGGAGAAATTCGGAGAGTTATCGGCAATGGATATGATATGAGTGACGGCTTGATCTTAAAAACACCTATAAATACACAATGTTTGTTCATTACAGACTGTCTTCCATATGGAAGCATAGATTTCGCTTAAATAATGATTCTACTATGTAGCACAATTTCTGTTCCTGGGAAATCGCAAGGATAAAAACTATGTGAAGCTGGTTGAAACTATGGTGAAGAGATCAGGCACAATGGTCTACAGGATGTCCCTTAAAGTCCTTATCCTTGATGTTTATCTTGACAAATTCAAGGAGAACATGGGAGAGAGCTTCCACCAGGATATACTGGACTCTGAACGCCGTGTGTTTGATATCGGCACGTCTGGCTATTGGCTATACTATTATCGTGTAGTATTCCTGTTATCATATTTTCAAGACTTTAATCAGTGTTTTCAACTTTCTATATGTAATCTGTTCAGTTACACACTTTTGATGTGGCCCCGAGTGACCGAGTGGTTTAAAGCGCTGATCGTTTTAGATCACTGCCATCTCACCTCTGTCTGCGTGAGTCCAGAAATTTATTATAATCTTCTACTCCGAAACAAACCAGACCATTGTATCGTCTCGATGGAGTAACTCTTTAAGTCTGGTCTAACGCCAAACAATGGAGACTGTATTAATCTTTAACAGCCACAAATAGCAATTCCGCCTGACTCGACGCTGGATCGATCAAAAGCATATATGAAATGATACGCATACACTCGCCGCGACCGGAATTTCCGTCATGCACAGAGAGTGGACGCGTGAACTGACCGGTAAAAATGGTCCGACGTAAACTGCTTAATTAAACCCTTCATGTATATAATAAGGGGTTTACACCTTAAATTTTTGTTCTCAATCGCAAAATGTACCATAGGTGGAATATTACTTAAATTGACATGAAATGACATTTTTTATTTATTTATTTATTTATTTTCATGATTATTTTATTCTACGACTGATGTTATTTTCTGGCCGATTTCTTCCACATTTCCCTGTTTAATACACGCATTTCAATCAATCAGATGTATGTATAATGTTCTTATCATAATGCTAAGAAAGGCGTCTTTGTCATAACTTATATAATGTTGTGACATTGTGTGTTTTCTCTGTTTCAAACGTAATGTTATTTGTATTCATGTTAATGAGCAGTCAACTGAATGACCAGTCTTGCTGACAAGTCCGAAGAATGACTAGTCTTGCTGACAAGTCCGATTAAAGACTAGTATTGCTGACAAGTCCGATTAATAACTAGTTTTGCTGAGAAGTCCGATGAATGACTAGTATTGCTGAGAAGTCTGATGCATTATCAGTCTGCTTGTAAGTCAACTGAATGACCAGTCTTGCTGATTAGTCCACTGAAGGACCAGTCTTGCTGAGAAGTCCGATGAATGGCCAGTCTGCTTGTAAGTCCACTGACTGACCTATCTTCCTAATACGACGGCTGAATGCAAAAAAGACCCATCCTAATCTATGTAATGGAATTATTTGCCGCTAAGATAAAAGCAGATAAATTCATATATTGAAAGGCTCGAGTATGTTAAAATTTAATGAACGATTAAATTGTATGAAGTCTATCGAGGTTTAGAAATCTGAGCACTAATTGAACGTGAGTATGCTACTTAAAATTACATATTAATACCTGATTTATTTAATTGGATAATAATAATAATAATAATAATAATAATAATAATAATAATAATAATAATAATAATAATAATAATAATAATAATAACAATAATAATAATAATAATAAATATCGTATGATACCACAAATAAAATCATTCTGAACACTACTTATGTATTGACGACACCTTCTTATCTTCTTCAGAAAGAGATACTATTTAAAGTAACAGACATTTTTTTTATAAACATATTCTTTTATTTTTCATCTGACTCACATTCACCCATCCGGTGGCCTAGTGGTTAGAGCGTCCGCCCCGATTGCGGGAGGTCGCGGTTTCGATCCCCAACCGACACATGTCATGTTTGGAGCTCTGCGTTAAGAGGTTAGTATTAGGTGTCAGGAGAATGTGACTGGATGGGACGACATGCTACATTTCTGAGGCATGATGCACAGGTGCTAGTCATCACTATAAACTGCAACACTGCAGATATAATAGAGATATGAGTGAAATTTTTTTAAAGCTACCTCAAAATCCAAATCACACACACACACACACACACACGTCACGTATTTTGCTTATTTATCGTGTAACACGTTCCATGTATATATGCATAGAGGTATACGTGGGTGATGCGAGTACATGTATGTGCGTGTGTAAGTATACATCTTTAGTACTGATTCAATGTGTGTAAATGTGATAGATTTGTTTTCTTGAATTTATCAATTGTGACACTCAATTTCTGCAACACACACACACAAACACACACACACACACACACACACATATATATATATATATATATATATATATATATATATATATATATATATATATATATATAGATATATATATATATATATATATATATATATATATATATATATATATATAATGTTGTTGTTGTTGGCCTGTTGTTTTTAATGTTTATTGCATGTGGAAACAAAGATGCGGCCCAATAGAATTTGAAAATCTTCAAAGACAGCCTAAAGAAAGTTTAAAGGAAAGCAATCCTGAGGTGATAGAAAAATATAACCTTGTTTTGGAAAGAACATACTATTCCCTATTCGACACAAATAAATAAATAAATAAATAAATAAATCAATCAATAAATAAATAAATAAATAAATAAATAAATAACAGGGGGCCCCGAGTGGCCGAGTGGTCTAAAGCGCTGTCCGTTACGGATCACTGCCATCTCACCTCTGTCTACGTGAGTTCGAGTCTAGGATTCGGTGAATGTGGATATGTGAGAAAGCTTGCCAGTAGCTTCTCGTGAGTCGGTGGTTCTTTCCGGTGATTTCCCGGTTTCTTCCTCCGCCATTAATACTGGCCGCCATGAATAGCCTATTGTGTGCTGAAAAATGGCGTTAAGCTCCAACACCAACAAATAAATAACAATCACCAACACCACCTATCCTACTGCAACCATTTCTATTGCTTTTCGCAAATCATATGTCATCACATTTTCATTCCAAACAATTCCCCTTTCTATATATTTATGATAATGTTATCATATAAAGTGTAATTTAATTCAGGAAGGGGTCTGTATTGTAATGATTCATCATATTTATATTTATATAATAAAATTGTATCCTTATATTAAGCCTCACTTCCGGATGTTTTTTTTTTTGCTGTAAAACTAGCTTTTATATCTCGTAAGGTACTATTGTATTTTTTAAACAGTTAGCAAACGTTGTTCATACACCATATGACCGTTTAACTACCTGCCAATATAGGAAGAGAAAACGTCATTGTGCTAGAGCATGAAGTCTATATCTTGTATTATCATGAATTTTGTGTATTTTTGAATTAATTTTCACTTATGTAGAGCGAATTCTTATTGCATGAAATATTTTTGTATATGAAATGAATCACATAAAAAAAGTGTTTGTATTACATATATAAAAGTCTTTGTCTACAGGTTTGAAGCATTTTAACTCATTATCATTATTGTTATGTGAAATTGATTTCGTTGCAAATGCTAAATAATCTTACTTTATCTAAAATATACATAAACAATTCAAAGCCCTATGAGAAATAAATTATTACATATAAAAAAGCGAATGTCGGATGTGTGGAAACAATTCTCATGTATGTATACTTTATACTTTATATCACTCGTACCTTTGTTTTATACATATCCATTCTATTTCACACGCATGAATTGAATTTCATAAATGTGAAACAGAATTCACATTTTATATATATATATATATATATATATATATATATATATATATATATATATATATATATATATATATATATATATATATACACACACACACATACATACATACATACATACATACATACATACATACATACATACATACATACATACATACATACATACATACATACATACATACATACATACATACATACATACATACATACATACATACATACATACATACATACATACATTTTAGCAATACATTTTAGCAATGTTTTCCCATATTTGTAAACGGGAATCATTGCAAACATAGCTTGCCATGTCCCTGTCATTATTTCTCACTTGATTATAATTTTATTTAGAATATAATATATGGAATTAATATTCTAAAACCATTTCGGTTTGTTTTGTTTGAATATTATGCTGCTACAACTATCTGCCATATTATAATGATGAAAGCTCGGTAATGGCCTCCATTGTTGTCGTCTTATAAATGCTATAGCATGATTATTCTCCACGTGGCATCAATAACCTAACATATTCGACTTAAGATTTCCACGTGGGGGTGGGGGTGTTGGGTGTTGGTTTAGGGCTCCGACATCATTTTGCTGGTTGCTATTGACATTGTAAATTATTTCAGTCTGCTTATGGTTGGAACGTAGATACTGGCTCAAATAAATAACACAATGCATAAATAACTATTAAAAAATTCAAGTTAAAGACATCAGACTTTCATTTTACGTGTTCTGAATTACTACTCAACAATTCTAACAGCTACCTTAATAAATGCATATATAACAATGTAGCTGTATACGATTTGCAATAACAATTATAAATAACATTAACCGATTCGTAGGAAATTTGGTTGCATTGGCAAGAGTACATTATGTGAACTTGCTTCTCTCATTTTATGTTTGAGTCATAATTTAAATGGTTTTTAATCTTTTTTTTGCTTTGCCTTTCGGGGAAGGTAAGGCTTTTTATAAAACAGTCAAGTTCACTAAACTTGTTTATTCTTTACCTTAGAGACAGTGCCGTAAATAGCGATCACGGGCCATGGTGTAAGAAACACCCAGACCTCTCCTAGTTCTTGTTCAAATAAATGTTTCTTTCATAAATTTAAAAAGTGTTGTTTGGCCAGGACCCCATTATGGATTCTATCCCCAGTTGACCCCCATCACCCTCTTGTCGACTCTGCATAGAAAATATCCTTTAATGTACAGCTTTGTCGATGTGAACATGAGCTAGCCGAAACAACTGATTGATTTTGACTTCATTTTTGTTTTGAAATAATCTACAGCTTTGAGAAATGAACTTTAGACCGTGGAATAAAAATAGATCGGATGGATGGAGTGTCATGTGGAAATAGGCAATGTAAGATGGAGGCAAAAAGTTACATGCACTTTGGTCTAAATGGGGCGAAATTGAAGTACATTTCGAAGACAAGGCCTCTTATAATATTGAAGACCTGTTTTTTTCCCTTTAATCAGCCAATAATGAATTGAACTTAACTTAGTTCTTAGTGCATATCTTATTGAACAAATAACTATTGGCGAGACACATCGACAAAGCTGTAAATATAAAGAAAGAAAGAACAAAAGAGAAATAAAGAAAAATGCAAAGAAATAAGAATGAAAAATACTTTATATAAAATATATTTGTTCTAAGCATACTCAAATACACTTTCTTTAACGAAGAAAATAACTGAAGTTGCCATTATATTATATCCAAGTATGAGCGAACAAATTGCGTTGCTGAGAGACGATGTAAATTCGAAAAGCTCATATAATAACATGAAATCATGTGTCCGTATACAAAGCAAAACTGTGATTAGATTTTATAACCCGAGATGTAATCATGAGAAAAATAATTAAATGAAGTAAAACTGAGAATGGCGTGGTTTAGACAGTTTGCGCTGAATAAATTACCCCAAATGGTTTCACTATTCACAAAATGTACAAACATAAATTATTAAAATAGCGATGACAATCTCAATTTCTTACAAATCTGGCAACCGTCACAAAACTTCATTATATTAATAACAATAGTTTTATAAACAAATCACAGACACACTATAAAGCAGGACAAATGTTTGAAAGATGCCATTTTTGGTGGAGGGCTGGAGACAAATTTAAGAAACAATTTTGTGTCAATAATAATAATAATAATAATAATAATAATAATAATAATAATAATAATAATAATAATAAGCATACTAATAAAAATAATAATAACACATTGTTATAACTATATTGTCATATTGTTTTATTACAAATAAAACTGCATTATTATTATTATTATTTTTATTATTATTATTATCATTATCATTATTATTATTATTATTATTATTATTATTATTATTATTATTATTACATCCAAAATTGCTTTTTCATACCCTGTTTCTAATATACTTTTAGTAGCAAACGTTTCTTTACCAAGATGATAATTTTAATGCCATGGTAAATTTCAAAGAAACATTCAAAGTACTTTTTCTTGACGAGAAAGAAAAACTTACTTTTCTTTGATAACTTGTAATATTGTACTCAATCTATGTTCAATCGTCGTGACACAAGATCTAGTTTACGTTTCCTGTTTGTTGTGAAAACACTATGTAACACAAATTTTGTTCTTGGGTAGTAAATGTTATTTCGTAATTGCTTATGCCTACAAAGTATAGAAAAGCAAATTATTCCTCACAAACTTTGCTTTGTGATTATGACAGCGATATTTTGAAACTTAGCTATTTCCATTTAGAAAACGGGCGAATTTGTGTCTTTTCGTTCAAGTAATGTAGGAAAAAAAACAAGATATGAATCAAAATTAGCACGTATTTATACTAAAGAATTATAAAAATTACCATAAAAGGCTTAGAAGTGAGTAGTTTGTTTAGTTTTATGATTATACTGTAAATCACTTTAACGAATCAGCCTCCGCCCAATCCTGCTCTAGTTATACCGTCCTTTGTAGCGGCGTTCAGAGTCCGGTATATCCTGGTGGAAGCTCTCTCCCATGTTCTCCTTGAATTTGTCAAGATAAACATCAAGGATAAGGACTTTAAGGGACATCCTGTAGACCATTGTGCCTGATCTCTTCACCATAGTTTCAACCAGCTTCACATAGTTTTTATCCTTGCGATTTCCCAGGAACAGAAATTGTGCTACATAGTAGAATC